TATTACGTAATATAATGTATAATGAGAATTTTTGTGACGCATATGTAAAAATATTGGTAACATCCATACAAAGAAATCGTAACTTCAAACGACGTCAAACATTTTTTGGAGTCCAAGCGTGCTTTTTGTACCAGTTATTCTATTAATGCAATCAAACACATTTATTTGTTTTACCATTGTCAAAATCATTTATTAAAAAAAAGAGTCACGCATCATATTTCAATTTTGAAAGGTTTGTACACCTTATTTTCTTTCTACCTTTGTTTCCATGGGACCTGAGAATTTGGCCGTAAAGTTTCGTGTGTTTTATCGATTTTTTCTCGCCGATGTCATGCATAACTAGAAGAGCTCCTTTACACAACTCCCTATCGTTGTAGTTGTACATATTCCTTTGCCGTTTTCTGTCACTTACGTCGATTCCGGTACCTTTGCTTCTAAATTTTCCCATTATGTACATACTTTTTTCATCGCGTGAAAGTTCGCGCATGGCCAGTATTTGTTCTTTAATCCCCTCACATTGAAATTTATCATATAAAACAGATAGCAAGAACCAAGTCAGGCACATAGTATCTTTTTGTCGTAGTATAGTTAAATCATGGTAATTTGGTAATGCATTAATAAGATTTGGTTGTGGGCCAAACACGAAAAAGAAGACCTTGACACTTTGTCAGAATGGATTAAGAGCATCAGATGGATGTTGAAACCTCGCATTAAGCGATTGAGGGGCTGTATGAAAACTATTTATCCTTCTGTCTTTAATGATTCAGAAGTGAAAAAGGAATTAGATAGATTACATGATCAGTATGTACTGGTCCTAGCTGATCCAACTTACACCCTTAGCTCCCTTTCTAAGGAGGAAATTCTTCAAAATCATATGTCCGTTTTAGATATTTTTAATATTCCCAACAATCAAAATGAATTTGAATTACCATACCTTTACTGGATTCCTAAACATCATAAAAATCCTTATAAACAAAAATACATAGCGGGTTCCAGTAAATGTTCTACCAAGCCTCTTTCTTTACTCCTCACTAAAATATTTACTGTAATGAAGGAGAAACTTCAGGAGTACTATACAACAGTATATTTGAGAAGTGGTGTAAATCACATGTGGATACTTAAAAACTTCAAAGAACTTTTGGAAAATTTGAAATCACAAAATTTTACCAAAATCAACAACATAAAAAGTTACAATTTTTCAATTTTATATACAACCATTCCCCACAATAAATTAAAGTCCAGGCTTTTTGATATCATTGACAGCTGCTTTTTCAATAAAAATGGAACTCGTAAATATACTTACCTTGTCATTGTGATTGTACACACAAGTACTCTGAAGTTGATAATAAAAAGATGTTTGAGTTTCTGATTGACAATATCTCTGTAGTTTTTGGAGATCAGGCCTCGAGACCATAAACTGAGAACAGACTTAAGTCAAAATTTTGATTTTAAATATCTTGAGTTTTTATTCAACATACATACTTAGAAATTTGAAGGTTTGTATTATATTCCAATATAAACGTATGATGAAAATTTTGCTCCATTTTCAACATTATTAGTCCCCTACCGGTGAAACCGGAGGGGACTATAGGTTTCCTCTGAGTCTGTCCGTCCGTCTGTCTGTCCGTCTGTCTGTCTGTCTGTCCGTCCGTCTGTCTGTCTGTCTGTCTGTCTGTCAGTCTGTCCCACTTGGTTTTCTGCACTTTTTTCTTAAACGCTTGCAGATATTGAGCTGATTTTTGGTATGTGAGTGTATCTTGATGAGTTACAGATCAAGTTTGCATTTTGTTCCGCTTCATTGATTTTTGACGGAATTACGGCCTTTTCAATTTTAAGGGTTTTCCGCAATTTTCTTCTTAACGCTTGTAGATATTGAGCTGATTTTTGGTATGTTGCTTTACCTTGATTAGTTATAGATCAAGTTTTCTTTTCGTCCCGCTTCATGAATTTTTGACGGAATTATGGCATTTTCAATTCTTAACGGGAACCAGATTACAATTGCCGGTAGGGGACTAGTATTGCTAATGCAATACTCTCAGAATGCTTGTTTCAAAAGTTACATTGATTTGAAGTTTTGACTTAAGTCTATTCTCAGTTTATGGTCTTGGGACCTGGTCTTCCAACAATCTGTTGGAATTCCCATGGGTACCAACTGCACCATCTTATTAGCAGACCTATTTTTGTATTCAAATGAAGCAGAATTTATTCAAACACTTCTACATGAGAAGAAGAAAACACTTGCTGTGGCCTTCAACTCGACATTCCGATATATCGATGACGTATTAACAATTAACAATAGTTATTTCCATTCATATATTGACTCGATTCATATATCGACTCGATATATCCCAGTGAGCTTGAAATAAAAGATACCACAGATTCCGACACATCTGTTTCATATATAGATATTTTATTAGAAAAAGACGTTAATGCTAACCTATCAACAAAGCTTTATGATAAACGTGATGACTTCAACTTTTCATTCACTAACTTCCCTTACTTATGTAGCAGTATACCCTTATCACCGGCATATGGGGTTTATGTCTCTCAGTTGATACGCAAGAGCATGCTCGACGTATGAACAATTTCTAAAACGAGACAAGCTATTGACAAACAAGTTCATGAAACAAGGATATCAACAGTCTCGTTTGAAGTCATCTTTTCGCAAGTTTTACTGTCGATACAATGACCTTGTCAGCACATACAAGCTATCATTGATTCAAATGCTGACTGACGTTTTTTATACTAATTGTTAGGCCATTATTTATACACTGAACTGTCTACGGATTTTTCTGCTTTTTTCCGATCATGACAAGGAGGACACGGCGGGTGTGACCGGTCGGCAGGGAATGCTTACTCCTCCATGGCACCTGATCCCACCTCTAAATAATGAGGTCCGTGTTTGCTCTGCTCCAAATTTGCATCGTTTCATTGGACTTTCGAGATTCAATACTGTTCGTTATCTTCATATTTCATTGTGAAAAGAATTTGGAACCTACCCACCTCCACCCAATGAAATAGGATTTTCGGAAAATTTTCATTTTTACTGCTTGACAAAGTTACTCCAGGAAAGTTGTCTTTTTTCTGGCTGCCCCCTTTCCAAAACTACTCTACGTGCCTGCAGGTGAAATTGTATCTCTCAGTTTGTCCAAACTAGAATCCTCCTGAAACACAAGACATCCTTATTCATTTTGTGAATAGTTTGAAGCAAGTCTACTGATCATTTTTTCGTGAATACGAACTAACCTATCGAAACGCCAGAGGTGGGTTCAGATGCCCAGAAGAAGAAAGCATCCCCTGACGACCGGTCACACCCTCAGAGAACCCTGAGAAATATGGATTCATAAAAGGCTCGTGTAAACTTTTCTAAAAGGGTAGTGTCTGGGATTCTTTTAAAACTATTGACAGTTCCAAAAACACAAAGGTCCATGGGTAAATTATTCCACTAATAAACTCTTTATCAACATCAACCTCAACCACCACCATTTTGTAATCAAATGTTTATGCACAACACATAAATATTACATGTATTTTTTCAACAAGTATTTAAAAGTTTTTTTTATATTAAACACAGGTAATTTAAGTTGATTGAAGTGATTTTTGACGACGGAAGTAAATTTGGGTTTGCTTCCTTATGCTTGTGGTGTTAATTCGATATGCATTCTTAAATACTCCAAAGACCAGGTCTTCCTAAAACCTGTTAAATTCCCATATTTGCATAATTTGTGTTCATTTATTTGTCACATTATGAAGTGGAATTTATTCAAAAACTACAAAGGGAAGAAAAAACTCTTCCTGTGGCCTTTAATTTGACCTTTAGAAATATCAAAGACTTTCATCAATGAACAATATTCATTTTCATTCATATGTCATCTCATATGTTGTCTCGGTATATCCCAATAACCTCGAAGTAAATGACATCACGAGTCTTGCACTTCATCCCACCTCCTGTGTTTCCAGATATACGTGACTTTGACCTGTTCATTGTATATTATCTATAGGATTTATGTGATTTTTCACTATTCACTTTCTTTACCTTTTTCAATGATATGGATGACTTTCAGGATAATTTGTATACACAGCATTCTTCTTCTTTAATTTACTTAAATGCAAATTTATGTTTATGCTTAATATACTAACTCGTCTAACACCATCCGTCCATCTTTCTGCATTTGGTAAGAGTTTGATGCACATGTTTGTATAGTTGTCATACTCCATTATTTCTGGACAAAATTTCTCAATGCATAGTTGCAATGCACACGTACTGTGCAAACCGGCGACGGTGCGCTTTGTGATAGCGTACGGAATGCGGTGTTTTCGTGACAGTGCGACAATGTATTTGAGTTTTCGCTTCACAGGATGATGGCATGGTGTGTGTTGGCGTGCAGAATAATCTCACTTCGCGCATTTTCACTTGACCGGACAGGGATACCATATACTGGTCATCGGTTTATTATGAATCTTTGATATCTGCCTATTGCAGCTAACATATTGCTCTTTTTCGGTTTTCCCTGATTTCCTTGGGTGCCATTAAATAGCCACCTAGCCCTGTGATTTAAATTGTACATTGAATTTTTTGTGCAGTTGATCTAATTTGCAAATTTTTCGACTTTAATTGGAACAAGTTACAATGCATATTCTCTCTAGGTTTATGATTAGGTACTAGTTTGCATTATCTGAGATGGCACAATTAAACCTGACTATAGAGCTGCATACACAGAGCTTTCAGTTTTGCTATTTTGTGGTGAAAGTTTTTCTACAGAATTTTAAAGTCTTATCTATTTAATTATGATTTCTCTCCCTTTTGAAAGTTTTGTGGGCCATTATTAAAAGAAATATTAATCTCCTTATTAACCTGTCCTTTCAGGTTAATCTGGTTACAATAGATTGAAACTATTCCAAGATTTTTGTATCACAGACAACTGACACTCTACAGACGACAATTTTCTTTTTTGTAGTAAGTTATAATTTATAATTAAGACGGATTTAGGCAGACAGCAATTTATTGAAGTATCAGCACGATATAAAAAATGATTCAAAAATCGATGACACTTGTGAGGATGTTTAAACTATAATCACAATTTAAGCTTCAATTTTTCGTTATCGAACAGTGCAAATTTATTTCCCCCCAATCCTTTTTGTTTTATCCAAAAATAAATCCACCTCCGATTACTTTTATGTCCATTTCGACATGGAAGCATCCAACGATATCATTACCATGTATCATCTCAGCTTGCACTCGAAACTTCCCCTGAAACGAGTAAATTTCACCAAATGAAATGTGAAAAAAATGTCATGTTCTAGATAAACTTCGTAAATGAGTCCATTGACAAATGCTACTAATACATACCGTGGCCAGCCAGTTCCAGGCTGCATTTATTTTTGTCACCTCGAAAACAGACGGCGGTAGATTTATATCGGATGGATTAAATGGACAGGTGCACGGTAGGCCATGTGCTTCAAGTTGATGTGGACAAGTCCCTGACGTCGCAAAAGCTGACAAAAACTCACACGGGTTATCGTAGTTGCTTAATTTAAAAAAGAAGCAAATTTGTAAAAATTTTGAGTGGTTGACAAAGCAAAATTTACGAAATTTTAAGCAAAGTCTGGTATTCCTCTATTTGAAATTTTCTATCCAAGATCCATGGACAGTGACTGAAGTTCTGTGGCATCGTTTTATAGATATATGGTTCAGCACTTTATAAACCACAGGAAATTGTAGGTGTATGAAATTGGTAAAGCCATGGAGAAGAAAGTGAGTACATGAAGGAATGTTAATAAGCCAAAAATGCAGGCAAGTTTTTTGATTTGTGATGGAATGATAATTGTTATGGGATTATTTATGTGTTTACATGGCTTGATAATTATCAGATTAAAATTTTATTTGAAGAAAATCACAAAACTTTATATTTAAGAGCTACTTCACTGTAAGCTACCTTGCTTTTTATTAATGCACAGGTTACAAACAATTCCCTCAGTAAATATTTAGGATGTCTATCGATAATTACATGCTATCAGCAATGATCCTAAAAATGAATTCTGACTTAGGATTGTCGTTGAATATTAATATTAGTATAATCAATAAAACAATACAGTAAAGTGAATCTTTTAAGTTAATACAATATATCATACCAAGAACCAACGTTGCTATGACATGGAACCTTTGACCACACTCCGAGGAGATATTTGTCCATGTGAACTACCATTCTAACATCTTTGCCAAAGTGATGATGGACTGTCCCTTGTACTCCGATTGTTACGTTTCCAGGAAGCACAACCAAATCAGGCGAAATTGAGACAGATGTAAATGTCACATATGGATGAGCAGTGCTGGAGGCTTAATAGATAAAAAAAATATTGTTGTTAAGATAAGCAAATAATGCGGAATTTTTTTTTTCTCAGAGAACTAAAAGTCTCATTACTTACGAACACAATCCCTCCACGTTACAGTTGCCTCTGAAGAAGTCAAAACGGACAACAGAAGAATAATGGCTTTCATAGTGCTGTCTGAGTCACACGTTGACTGATTCTGCACTGAAATATCTCTCCTATATCTCCATTATCATAAGAGTTCAAGGGTATGATTTTATCAATAGTGATTATAATTCGTAAGAAAATCCAAGGAATCAAATGTATATCCATGGAGTGCTTCATCTTAGAATATTTTTGAAGTAACACCATATAAGCTTTCTGATCTTTACATTTTTAATCGATCACCATGTCTTAGCAGGTAACAAGGAATGCAAAATCTCTAATTCATGTACAGAGACATAATCTCTATATTAGTGTCTTGTGCACAAACCTAAATACTACTACACAGTATCCCATTATAACAGTAACAATTACTTTTAATTTTAAATCCGCGTGTTTATTATTTTTAATATATTTATGCGTATCAATAAAGTGCAAATAACTATCATCGTGGGAAAACACCATGGAAGGAGCAATTTAGGTTTGTGCACGACCTTTTCAAACGATATGGACACGTTTTAATACCAGATAAAGATAAGAAGGAACAGCACTCGGTTGACTATCGCCAAGATCTTGAGTGTATTTACCACTAAACTCCAGCAATGAAATTTCATAAATTCTAAAAAATATTTCAACGAGAAAAGTAATTAAAGATACTGTCATAAAAGTCATATTACAAAAATTATAAAGAATAATCTCAGTAAACTTAATTTATTTTTAATTTAGTACATTTGTCAAAAATTGTGCTTTGCTAATAATGCTTTCACAACAATGATTTTCAATGATAAAAAAAATGTAAAATAAGGGCTTTTGATATATTTTTTAGGTGCAATGACAATGACACATAACAGTTTGACAAGTTAGACGTAAAGACGCTAATGTAAATTTATACTGAACATAAGCAGACCCAAAGATGTGCATATGCTCATTTCATATGAAATTTACTGCTAAGATCTTATTGCTTCTTAAAAATTCGATAAGGCAAACTAAACATGAGCTTGCAAAACTAAGGTCATTTCGTTTTCATTCAAATTCCAAGGTTCAAACTCACTGATAACCCTATTAGTAGAACAAGTTAGATTAGTCGAGATAGTTTTAGCAGGTTGGCATATTCTTGAACATTGAGAAATCCATTGCAAATTTTATATCGGAGTCATATTCACACAATCTATTGTTTCTTTTTTAAGCTACAAAATAATTTCTTATATTAATTTATCGTGACTTAAAAAAAGTATTCAAAGGAACGCATTTGTCGCCTGTAAAAGCAGCATTAAGGATATGATAAAAACTTATTTACATGCATACCAGAATTTATTCATGCATGTGCCTGAAAAAGAAAAAAAAAACATCCATGATAGTAAGACATATGAATTTGGAAGCAGCCTGGTTGTACACGTTGTCTGAAATATTTCTGAACAGCACTGCGCAGCACTGCAAATATTTTGTTTAATTACACAACACATTTTCACTGTGATAAAGTTCCTTAATCCACCTCTCATCGCAAAGAAATGCCTCAAATTTTACCATGTAGAACATTTTGATGTAGTTTATTAGACCTATTCGCACGTGCCAACAGTATGCCAATTTTTTTTGTAAGATTGCCGCCAAAGTGTTTGTTTTCTACTTGCATTAAAATCATGCATTTACCTTATTTCTTCGTATTTTGACTGAATATTTAATATGAAGCCTTTGGATGCGATCACTTTTTTGACATCGCTTTTGGTAGACTTGAGTAGAGGGACCTGAGGAAAGTTTTTTGATAGGTTGTTCTAAGCACAGTATAATTTGTGATTCGAGCCGTCAATGGTACGGATGAGGAAAATTTGACGTTTTATATGATTTTTTTTTCAAAACAAGCCAGACATTCTCAATAGGATTGTGGAGGACAAAACAATAGTGGAATCTTGTTCCTGAATTTCCAGTCCTCTGTCTCTCGAGAGCAATGATCAGGACAATTTTTATTCATAAAATACCATGGTGAAAATTTTAAAAATATTTCACGAGCACAGGCCACAAATGTTCATCTAAGACACTAATATATTTCTGAGAGTTCATATCACCGTCAACAAATGCTAATATTCCAGTTCCATGGTAAGTTATCGTCAACCAAACAGCGTGAGCTAAGGTCTCTGTCCGAAAAATCCTAAACTATAGCCTCTCTATTTCTCCGATATTTTCTTCAACACTTCACCGTCCGGTTTAACAACTATGGTCATCTTAGTACTAAAAATAAAATTCTTCAAGTGTTGGTCGACTTTCCAAGTTAATTTTCCCCTACAATACTGAAATCATTTCTTCCTGTTCACCTCACGCACCCCCAATCTTTTTACCACAGTCCATCTCCAATACTCCCGTCGATACAACTCGTGCTGAATAGTTCTTTTTGGTACTGCTTTCAATACTGACCTATTATATTCTTTAGTGATATCTGATAAACTTTTTCTTCTGTCTTTCTTTACGATTCTTATCATGAACTGTCATGGATCGGGGTCGTCCACTTCGAGGTTTATTTTCAATGTCGCCTCGCTTTTTAAGAATCCACATATATTGGAGGAATTCAAATTCAATAATTCAGCGACTTTGACTGCTTTTAATCCACTTCCTATTAGTGATATAAGTCGCTCTTCTTTTCATCAATAGTAAGTTCTCGTCCCTTTCATCCCATGCTTGTTGTTTACATTGACAATGTAAAAATAGCTGAGGTTTTGACTACTTTCAATTTACAAAGAATTTAAATAATCTACTGTGCCTTGACGGTGGCAAAAATAAGTCTGAATTAGTAAGTGTAAACTAAAACTGTATTGAAAAAAATTATAGATTGACATTTTCAAGGCGAACATCTTGAAAAAAAAATGACATACTTTCACGTGAGTGTATTTTTTTCATTCATATGAAGCAGAATTTATTCAATAATTTATACATGAGAAGAAGGACACACTTGCTTTGGCCTTCAACTCGACATTTAGTTATATCGACGACGTATTATTAATTAACAAGAGTTACTTCAATTCATATGTCGACTCGATACATCCCAGTGAACTTGAAATAAAAGATAACACAGAGTCTGGCACATCTGTTTCATATTTGGATATTTTACTAACTGGAAAGAGACGTTAATGGTAATTTCTAAACCCAGGAAGGCTTATCACATATATGTATAAGTTGATGTTACGAAAGTATCAACAATCTTGTTTTAAAGTCAATACCGGTATTTAAAATTTCTTTCTCTTTACAATCAGCTTGCTTGCAAATACAGTATGTTTTAGGTCTAATGTTGACTGACGTTTTGAATACAAATTGTTAGGCCATTGTTTTTATACTGATTTGTATACAAACTAATCCGTTTAACCAGTTAAGATAAAGAGCTCACGGCGTATGTGGCAGGTCGGCAGGAGATGCTTACTCCTCCACGGTGTCTGATCCCACTTTCGGTGTTTGTAGGTGTCAGTGTTTGCTCTACACTCAATTTATAATGTTAAATTGGATTTTTGAGCTGATTACTGTTCATTATCTTTTCACTGAATAAGGCGAAAGACAGACAAAAAACGAACAGGTAGACAAACAGACAACTAGGCAGACGCCAAGCAAAGTAATCCCTTAGTGTCATTCTACTTTGCAGATGATATAAAAAGATACAACTATTTTCTCCACACTGCAAAAATTGAATATACTTCAGTGTTTATGACTACTATATAATAGAATAAATGTTACATGGTCAACACAATAATCCGTTTACCTGGGAGAGATAAGACAAGACTTTTCATTGATATTCCCTCTATGAAATTAAACACTGGGCGTTTCAGCATACATGTACATGTAAATTTTATTTCTAAATATCTCTTTATTCAAACAATATTTACTAAATACATGTAATAACACATAAATATGTATCAATAGAGATATTAAAATAGAAATACACGCTTCCAAGAACACAACTAGTGTGTGAATACACTTTGAGGCTGTAATACTCATTTCTATTTCATCTTTGTGAGGAGATTATATTACTGCCTGTCAATGTTTACACTTTTATTACCCGGGTATTAACTATTGCATTTTATACTTAGTTGCAAACAAAATGCTATTTTAAATTCCTCACGTCACTCGCGTGGCGCAGTGGTTAGAGCGTTCGCTCTAGAGTCGCGGAGTAAGGAGTTGATCCTTACGTCGCGGGTTCGAATCCCACTGTGGGACGTGGAGACCGCTCCTTCGGATGAGACCGCATAAACCGAGGTCACGTGTCGCACAAGGTGCTGTCGCAGAGGGTGCTGGCACGAAAAAGATCCATCACTGCTCGATGGTCCTGAATGCCGAGTATAGCTCAAAATTTGCAGCTCTCCAACGGCAAGTGGTGGCGTCTCCATATGAGTGAAAAATTCTCGAGAGGGACGTTAAACAATAAACAAACAAACAGACAAATTCCTCAGACTTTTAAATACTTAAAACCTTTAAAATTATTTTTACATTACTTCTTCAAGTTTCATATTGTCACAAGTGACTAGACCGGCATAAAAGATGTTCTACAGGTGTGTTGTTTCTTCAACTGATATATTCTTGTCAGATCTATAATGGAGGAGTTGAATATTTGATCAATAATTTAAAAAAAAAATATTAAAAAATATCAGGAAAGTTAAAACAAAATGTACATAATGACCTTTCAGATTCCTCTTCAGATTCCAGTAAAATCCCATTATCTACAATTATCAGGATTAATTTATGAATTGTTATAAAGAAAAGAATTCAATGTTCAATTTTTCAAATGTTCAGGTAGTATAAACATTACATGTTAAACCCTTAAATTGTATACTTAAATGTTGTGAACACATTTAACAAGAAATTAAAAAATGAGCAATTCTTTATATAAAAAGAAATTAAAGTTTGCATATTGAACACCGAGAAGTACGGAAGCCGGTTGGTGCCAGGTAGAAAAAATATTTTATCTGGCGGCCGCCACATAAATAACTGGCGGCCGCCAAATAATTATCTGGCGGCCGCCAGAAAGTTATCTGGCGGCCGCCACATAATTTCTGG